CAGCGGAGCTATTTAGAAGTTGACATGTTTTGGGAACCTTTTTATAAACTCTAGTTATAATGTTTAGAATTTACGTCATAAGAAWTAGCAAACTGTACATATAAACTGTATATATTCTACCTTTGCTRAAGAAGGGCGAATGCCCGAAACGTTCATTAAAGAGTAGAAAACCAAGTTGCAAGTTGTGCGGCTTTTTCTTCAATTCATTCTATCTATTCTGCCTYAACATACATATATTTCCAGGAAATAATGACTGAGCATGTAGAAGGATTCAATAAACAGTCAAATTTTCTCAAAAATGGATTATGCAATAACCCTAGTCCTTCTACGTGGATCTACGTGGACTCTATACACGGGAGAGAATTTTATTTTGAAATATGTTTCCCTTAGGCATGGTGTCATTTCCTTTGACTCGTGCGTGATTCAGCTTTTCAAAGAAACACAAAATGACAGCGAGAGAGAGAGAGAGAGTTATTTCGCTTTATTGGAGCTTCTTTAAGGCTAAAATTAGAGAAATATTGGGTAAAGAATGAAACTCGAAATGAAAACAACAGCCATTCMAGATTAAAGCATTGTTTTCTTTGTTTCATTATGTTTCCTATTTTTCCACGATMATGGAAACTAAAAGTGTCGTTGACGTCTTAAAAAATGCGAACCACACGGAAGAGGGAATTGTGTTCGTAAAATTTAACGATTAAAAGCGGAAATAACAGACCCGTATTGAAGGATACGAGGATACTTTTTGAAAATAAATTGGAAATACCAATTCAACTCTGGAAGTTCCAGGTAAGATAACTTATAAATAGGTAGTCACCTTGACTCTGTATTATTGAATTTTGTTTTCTTTCTGTGAGTACCGRAATCTGTTGAATGTCYGGYWAYTTATATTTTGGTATYGGATATTGTTTGGTTTCGACTGAAATGTCAGAGTTTTTGTTTTTATTGACATACTTGATCCGTGTTTCAGTACAGCCTTTTGCAAAAATTATGAGAATTGTCTAAATATCTAAATATCATAATATCCATATCCATATATTGTCCGGAACACGCGGGTTTGCTAGAATAATTCATTGTTGACATCAAGAAAATGTTCAGAACTACGGATAAGTCTGTCGCCAAAAAAAAA